TTTGTATGTCAACCTCAAGGAGGGCAAAAACGTTATTGACTATATCTAGGTCTTTTTTTTTGTCGTATATTAAATCTTCATTGTCAAATGTGGCAAATTGAAAATAAATATCAATCTATCTCAGGAGATTTTTCAGAAATGGATAGTTTGGCTTATAAAGGAATTCATAAACTTCTTCAAGAGAGCGCTAAATTTAACAGACGCACTGCATACAAATTCTCAGTGAAATATTTTCTTGAATTCAGCTATCCATGGAGATCTCAAAAATTTATAATATATAGGGTGTTCCATTTGGAAACATTGTCAAAATTCAGAAATTGATAGTTTGACTGAAAATTAATGTATTCAGTACATATTTTGTTTCTGAATACTTAGGCATTGCCATCAAACTGAACATTTAGGTAGAGAACATGTCGCATGTGGATATTATCAGCTTTTTAAATCACCGCTCTATTTGCGACATATTTCCTGCAGGCGAGTGTACCTAAAGCTGTTTCATTCCAGGTTAACACCTAATTCGAGTAGACGACCGAATTCGTAAAGTTAAGGGTATCTTTCAAAGGGGGAAGGATGTATTTCAACAGGCTGTAGAACTCATCAAATTGACCTATCAAGAAAACGTTTTATAAATCAGTGAGAACTAAGCTGCAATTGTTATTACAGATCTGTCGTAACTGTTTTTTTGCTGAGATTCACTGAGTTCAAACAAGGCGATAGTCCAATTTATGCAAATGTTGATAATTGTGCTGCAGGTTAGTTGCAATAAAATAATTTCTCCTACAACTGTCAAAACAGCTTATCAAATTATACCTAATAATAACACGTTTAATAAATTGTTGTGAAATAAGCTGCAAGTGTTATTACAAATCTGTAATGACTGTTTTTTTCTGAGATTCACTCTTTGACATCATTGGAACACCGTAGAAAGGTCGGCGACCTTTCACTTTTCTATCGATACTTCCACGGGAAATGTTCTTCGGAAATCTCTGCAATCATTCCTTCACTAGCAATACCAATCAGACGAACTAGACAAGCCCAGTCAGCACATCCTTTCGTCGTCAACCTCGAAAGATGTCGAACAGCACTTTATCAAGACTCCTTCATCCATAGAACGGCTAGGCTCTGGAATTCATTGCCTGTGGAAGTATTCCCAACAACATATAATCTCCAAAAATTCAAAAAAAATTCCAATACCTACCTCCTGTCCCTATCCTCCCTAGGAACGCACGATGTTCTTTGAACATTATAGGGATTCCCTTTCGTGCGCTCCAATCGATAAAAAAAAAAAATTGTGCTGCAGGTTAATTGCAATAAAATAATTTCTCCTACAACTGTCAAAACAGCTTATCAAATTATACCTATCAATAACACGTTTAATAAATTGTTGGGAAATAAGCTGCAATTGTTATTACAAATCTGTGATGACTGTTTTTTGCTGAGATTCACTAAGTTCAAACAAGGCGATAGTTCAATTGATGCAAGGGTTGATGGCTGTGCTGCAGGGAAGTTGCAATAAAATAATTTTTTAAATACTGTCTGAAGGTAAATCGAGAAGGTGTTACATTCATTTTTCTTGAATATTCGGGATTTTCTCTCCTCGTTTCTACAAGATAAAAATATGAGTATCATTACAATATAAGAAATCAGATGATTTGCCCCAAATTGTCACTGCGTTTAAAAAATTCTTCTCATCAGGGAGCCTAAAAGGAAAATTCAATAGCTTTTCAGTGAAACTTTGTTTGGATGAAAGTTTGAAAAGAAGAAATATAGATATATAGATTGAAAAATTATCGAATTTTTACTTATTTTTGGACGTTTCGGGATCTAAACTGCTCCCGTTGTCAACATAAAAATGCAAAATATTTTTCTTCGAAAATTCTGTTCTAGTTTAACACTTCTCAGTGTCATACTGATGATATGGATGAGTGATGATTTAAATCATTTGTTAACTAATATCATCAATCATCCATATGCCAACAATTTATAAAAAAACTTCTCAATATATTTTGTGTGTCTAAAGTGTAAACAATTTTTTTCTGTGACGGGAAAAAAGTTTGGCATTTCATCTCTGTTGGCAGGTTATAAAATGTCACTTTTCATAAATTACTTTTTTCCCGTGGGAAAAATATTAGATTTTAGCTCACTTCTTCTTTTTTCCCTTGTATAATAGATAACTATTGATATGAAAATACTGTTTCATTATTTCACGGAAAAGAGTGAAAATATAGTTATTTTTGTATCTAGAGCGCGATATGCTACTTTGGTGATCGAGATCAGATTTTTTTAAAGAGGCCTAGCCGAAAAATATTCGAGATGACCAAAGTATTTCGCGCTCGAGTTGCAAACAACATTTTTTCTACAAACGTCAAAAATATAGTTCTAAAGTAAAAATATGCCTATAGCTTGATATTAGAAATAGTGTTGAACTTGCTTGAAATGCCTCCCCCTATCCTCCCTAGGTACGCACGATGTTCCACGAACATAATAGGAATTTCCTTTCGTGCGCTCCAAGAGATAAAACAAAGTTATTGTTGAACATTCAGAAATGAATGATTTCGTGGATGTTCAATCGATTGAGGACCATAACGTTGAAATATGAATATCTCATATATTTTACATAACTATGCGCGAAGTAGGTACTTCGCGCACTGTTTTACTTCGCGCATTGTTTTGTGCAAGGTATCATGTTAACGTATTAAACTGAAAAAATTGACGTTTGTAGAAAAATTACATTTTTTTCACGGCTAGGCGATGGAATGAATGCTTACGTGAAAGAGGCCGATACACTGCGTTGTTTGTAGACGGTTTTGTTCGACGAACAAGTCTGTTCGAACAAAAATGACGCAAAACCGAACACACTTTGGTTTTGCTTCATTTCTGTTAGAAACATATTTGTTCTACGAACAAAACAGCCCATACCAACAACGCAGTCTATGGGCTCCTTCACTGGATTCCGCAAGGCAGCAAGCGAACAAATCACTGAACGCCAACAGGATGAGCGATTTATTCGAATTAACCGGAGGTGACTCTGGCTATTTCGTCGTTAGATCAGTTATCAATAAAGTGACATGAAATGAGTAAATGTACTCGATAATAATTGCGAAATACCATTCAATCATTTACAACATAAATTCAATGAGGTTGTCCTCTTTTTTGACAGTTGTAGGAAAAATATTGTATATAAATATTTCTCAATTGCTTTTTCTGTTGGCACGGGTGTACAATAATAATGAATCATCATCCAATCCCATCATCAAACTCACGAAAGCTATCTCCCGCAGATATTTGATGTGGCAACAATGCTGACTGCGGGAGATGTGTCCGTCTGAAAATGTCTGGAACAGCTGAAAATTCAGTTGTGCGGTAATTTCTGGAGGAAGCGGGTGTGACGGTTTCAGCAGTTGCTGGATTTTCGTTTCGTATATCGCGTCAATTTCCAGAACGGAATTTAGCGAGGAAATTTTCACCGCATCTACATTGTTGTGAATAGTGCAAGTGTTCTGAAATTCATGCGAGTGCGAGAGTTATTTGTAAAAAAAAAGTTGACATATTTTCCGCTGGCCAAGATTGTTTCACTTTTTCAGTGCGGCATTTGGTTGGTGCTTCGAGGTAAAAATATCGCGTTCTGATTGATCATCAGATTTATTAGTTTACTTTTCCAAGTACTATTTATTGTGCAGCTTATTCGGTATTGAGTGTGAAGTGTAGTGTATATACTATTTCTGTAATTACCTTCACACATATTATATTTATAGTTACCGTGACTCCACGTTTGATTAAATGTAGCTGATTTGTTATTTTTTCCGCTATTAGTGATTAATTTTCCTGATGATATCTCTGAGATGGAGTTGGATATTATTTTTCCGTAAGTATATACTTTGATTTTCAATGATAATTATTTTTCTGAAACATTGTGTTGGTAGATTTATTCATCTATTGTATGAGACTGCGAAAATACAAACGTGGACGAATAACTATATTCTATATTTCTCCTCTTTGTGTTTGTTTCCTCGGTTTCTTTTCATATAAATTCAAAATTGTTCCTTTCGCAACTACTTGGAATATACTAAAGTAGTAACAGAGTGAAAGCTTCTATGAAACTTGATGTCAGTGCGAATGTCCCAGAAATGTTTTTGAAATTGTTTTCTAATGATCGCAAAAGGTTCTATGTAATATTAACGAGAAGAATTCTATAAAATGGTGCCAATTCTACATTTATACTCAATGTATAAACGGATGAATCGAGGATCAAGATAAGTTTCATAATTATCATGTCCAAAATGTTTTTGCAACTATTATGAAATATCAAATTACTACTTGGGATGTTCATTGAGTCATCTCAATATAACATTACATTCCCTCCTTCCTGCTCCCTAGTGTTCTTCACAGCTAGTTTTGGAGCACCCTATTTTGTGTGCTCACTAGGGCTAGCAACTTCTCCGGTTCGAAGTCCGTACTCCTGGGAAAGAACACTGTGATGGTGTGCGCTCTTGGGATGTCGTCTTCAAGGCACACCATCACCTCCAAGCCTTCCCAGGTGCTCAGACTGGGTGCCTTTGCCCTCAGCCAGTCCACCGTTTCTTGGTTGACGCAGTCTATCACGAGCATACTGGAGCGGAAGTGAATTCTTCCGAATTGGAGTTTGTATTCAGCGAGGTATTCAGCGCCCAGTATCATCTCCTGTACGATGACATCTGCTAGTGCTGTAAGCTGCTCAGCACTCAGCGTCTCCTCCGGGTAGTTTTTCAGGAGGACTGCTATTTTTATCATGCTGACTGCCTCAGCATAGCTGGTGGCTTGCCCAGTTTGCTTAGCAGTGGCGGCGCTACTTCCCGCTTCAGTTCTCCTCCTCTTATTAACATTCGGACGTTGAGGGGGCGTTTGAGTTTTAGGCCCCCTCTTCTCCGTTTGTTGAGGTGGATGCTCCTGGGGTTTCTTCCTCTCGACGGATTTTCTTCATGCTTCCTGAGGTGTCCCCTGAAGCGAAGGAACCATTTTACTCCTGCCCCGCTGAGGCCCCTTCTAAGCGGATCGTCGATCTCTCCGGGCTTGCCTGGAGTTGGCAGCGGCATTAGTCTCCTACGGTTCTTCGCGGAGGATTTTCTAGAGGAAGAATCCTTGTCGAATGCCTACTCTGCTGGTTCTTCCTCTTCCTTCTGCTTTTCCGAGTGCTTTTCCCTCTCTGTCTCCCAAGGTGAGCTCGGTGTCTGAGAGGTGCCAGGACGTTCTTGGTTGCGGTTTTTTGACGAGTAGCTAGTGAACTGGAAGTCAACCACGCCAAAGCCTCACACGGCGTGGCAAAAGCTGGTACTCGAGGAGGTCGTCAAGTATCCTCGAGGCTCCGTTGGAGACGGTGCTCTCCCACTGCCATGCATCCATTGGCACGGGTCGCGTTACACCTTAGATTGGAGGGTTGCTCAGCGCCACCTTATTGTTTATTCGGTATCGGCCTGCAGCGTGCTTATGGTTGCACCGGGTTGCACAGTCTGCGCTGCAGGTCGTCTGGCTATCCTTCACCTGCCGACGCTCCTGGTAGCCACCCAAGTCCCAGGGGAGTGATAGTATATTACACACCGAGGTGGTAAGTGATTCATTCCTGTCGTGGGATTAGTTAGTTAACAGAGACCTATAGCGTCGAAGTTAGCTATAATCTCGAGACAGGAATTAAACTTCCTACCGAGGTTTGTATACTATTTCATTCACAACCATCATAATCCGATCAAAATAAATGAATCTCTGTTTCGTTCTGAACATACCTAAAATACAGAGGGCGGAAATTGACGGCGGGAAGTGAGGGCAGGAAGTAGAGGTGTGTAATATAATATGTGACACTTCCCAACCTTCAATGACATTAGTAATGACAACATAACATACCTATATGGTTGTAAATGAAGATATTTTTCTCCGATAGGCAGCAAATATCAATTTTGCTGACACATATCAATCAGCAAAGTATCAATTTTCCTGCCTAGGCAGCAAAGTGGTTACTTTGCTGATTGATATGTATCAGCAAAATTAATAATCCATAAATCGTTTATAATTTCCTTCATATTTCATTCGAGACTTCTCCGGCAACAAATTCAACTCTATATTTTTTGCCACCTCCCTTATTTCTGGAGGTGTAAGTACTTCCAGGTCGCTATCACTGTCCGTTATATAATAATTTAAATATACCGATATTTTTTCGCAAAACTGTCAGGATTTTCATGAATTGTCAAACTATAATTATCATGGACAACTGCGATTTCAATCAAATTTAATTTCTTTGAACACTACAGGAAAAATAAAGAGATTGTGGGAATTGTGATAATTTGCAATTACAATATCCTCCTATATCATTATGAACAATCGGAGAAAAAATTATATGTTCAACTCGGCAGCAAAGTAGATTGACTGCCGAGTTGACTGCCTTAGCTGGATTCCTAGCCTCGCTACGCTCGGCTATGAATTCAGCCTCGGCAGTCAATCTACTACTTTGCTGCCTAGTTAAACAAATAACTATACTCTCTCAAAAATCAACATTTTGTCATTTTATTATTGTTTTGTGACCGCTCTATTATAATATCTCATGAGGTGCGATTAACAAGTGAAGAAGACCTCGAAGAAGACCCACAGGGAGACCAGCCTCAAGCCTGTAATACACTGTATTACACGAGGTGAGGTGAATAGTTTTCTCATTGTCGTCAATTTTTTCAATAATTTCGTCAATTCATACAGTTTATAATGAGTCGATGCGTTATTAAAACAATGTTGAATTTCAAAGCTCATTACGAACGTACCGTCATGGCAGCAATTTGGCGATACGTCGAATAAATGAAGTCATGACCTAATCGGACGTCAGCTTTTATGCTGTTTCGTTATTGGTCAGATAATCTTCCGTTTCCACCCATGAAGCAAGGTTGTCAAGTCACCAATTATAATCAATTTATCTGAAAGATTAGAGTCCTATCGTTGAATAAAACATGAGATCTCGCATGAGATGAAACATAATATGAGGAAGTCATGATATTAGAGTTCATTCTTGACTTTTTTGAGGAACCAGCAAGTTCAAATAGTTCTTATCCTACATAACAAAATATCATGTTGATGTTGAGTACTTGGCAACAATGTGCTGAATGCTGAGAACTGACAAGGTACCACCCACAATTCGTGCGCCTTGTTGTCACGTTTATCCTCAAATGTCCTCTAGTGTGAATTATTTCAATAATATTATTAATAACACACATGTATTATAAGCAATAAGCCACAACACATGAGGGAATACTTTGAAGCAATTGATTTTTTATGTCTGATCAGGAATACTCGTAGGAATATAACCAAAACATTATTTAACATATCGCAACTGTGCTATGGTCTGCCCCTGATTACAAATTCGTGGCGTCAGTTTCAACTCGCTTTAGCTCAGCTCCTTATTAGCGAACAAAAATTTCAAAAAAATATGAAATTGTAAGTTATTTGAGTGATGATTCCGAGGATGATTCTATTTGAGAAATAAAAAAAAAATAGTCCACTTGATGCCTATTGTCGAGAGGCGTTAGGTCAGGTGACCTCAGGAGTTTCAGAACTGGATGACCTTTTTCAATTCACCGTTCAGCGAGGTTTTTATTGATGTGCTTATAACTCCTTTTATATATACTATTGGGTTTCAGACAATAGTGTATAACGCACTTTCGCCTCAAAACTGTACGAGCCCTTGAGCTATTGCCATCAACTCACGGAATACCCTGTATAACAAATATCCCTGAAATAGAAACAAAAAATAAACAGGTTGTGACTATAAGGGCCCCGGTGCGCCGCACCGAACTGCCCTACCATAGCTACGCCACTGCCTTTCGAACTGTTTCTTAAATTTGAAAGACTATTGATAGTATGCCTATAATGGCGACTTCTCAGAGAAAATTAGGATATGTGATAACAAATAACATAGAATATATATGATAGGAGATTTGTACCCTAAATACTCAATCTTTGTGGAATGAGATCTATTTTTCAGAAATTAATCTCGGGAAGTTTTATAGAAACTTATTTATTCCTGACGAAACTTCTATAGAAGTGCCAGAAAAGCTTTCATCATCACGCAGGAAGTCCAATGTTTGACAATTCGAAAATAATATTCCTTCACGAAATGAAAGTTGGAACAAGAATAATAATGGTATCCGCGAAGTTAGTTCAGAGTTTATATATTTAGTACCTGACTCGGTACATGATGGAATGAACGGAAATTATCTCGGAGAGTATACTGAAAAGTTGGTACGGACATATTTTTGAACTTTCTGAAAATGTTTAAGTGGTGTACGATTGTCCACTCTTTTAACTCCATTTTAATCCTTCCCTCTATATATACGTTATACTATAAACAGAATATTATATTTTATCGAAATATTTGATATACCCGAATATACCTATTAGCGAAACGAATTTCACTGATTCATGAATGTTCATGTTATAAAGTACCCCTAAAATAATTATATTATCAAAAATTCCGGACAGTAGATTGAATCTATAAACTATCACAGGGAATTCATTCTCTAATCTCTAATCAACAGATCAACTCTCACTACCTGAGAAAATATACAGAAAGTTGTATATATATTGTATATGTCCTCACCATTGAAAATACCTTATATGAAGAGCTTTCCGAATATACCCACTCTTCTGTATTTCTCAAAATATGCCCTTTCAAAACTAACAGAGTTTGATCGATGTTTAATGATTTTCGGGAGTATATAGGCCATGACAATCCAATTTGTTTTTCTATAGTGATCAGAATTAAATGTAATTGGTAGCGATACAGCCTTTACACCATTTGCAACGTGATTTGCAATCATTGTCATAACCTGATCTACTTGAAAATCGCTGAAAAATAGATAAAACTCTTCATTTTACTTGATTATTTGGGATTTTCTCTCCACGTTTCTATTAAATAAAAATATTACTATTATTTCAATATATTTTCAGAAGGACAAATCAGATGATTTGTCCCAAAATGTCACTCCGTTTTACGAATTTTTCTATCAATAAGCCTAAAGGAAGAATCCAATAGCTTGTCAGTGACACTTTATTCGGAAGAATGTTTGAAGAGGAGAAATATAGATATATTAATAAAATATGGAATTTTTACTTATCTACGGACGTTTCGGCAACGAATTATCTTTCTTCGAAAGAACTGTTATTTTGGTTTCACACTTCTCACTTCTCAGGGATATACCGATGTTGGCATATGGATGAGTGATGAAGAAGTAGGTAAATGAAAATAGTTATTTGTTTAACTAGGCAGCAAAGATGTAGATTGACCGAGCGTAGCGAGGCTAGGAATCCAGCTAAGGCAGTCAATCTACTTTGCTGCCTAGTTGAACATAATTATAGTTTTTTCTCCGATTGTTCATAATGATATATATCTCTTTATTTTTCCTGTGGTGTTCAATTAAAATAAAATTTGATAGAAATCGCAGTTGTTGGAATGGCTGGTTGCTATGGAAATGTCCATAATAATTATAGTTTGACAATTCATGAAATTTCTGACAGTTGTGCGAAAAATGCGGTATATTTGAATTATTATATAATGGACAGTGATAGCGACCTGGAAGTACTTACACCTCCAGAAATGAGGGAGGTGGCAAAAAATATAGAGTTGAACTCGGAGTTGAATTTGTTGCCGGAGAAGTCTCAGATGGAATATGAAGGAAATTATAAACCGAGTTATAAACGATTTATGGATTATTGATTTTGCTGATACATATCAATCAGCAAAGTATTACTTTTCCTGCCTAGGCAGCAAAGTGGGTACTTTGCTGATTGATATGTGTCAGCAAAATTAATATTTGCTGCCAATCGGAGAAAAACATCTTTTTTATACATAACTCGAGACATAACTGGTGCAACAATCATAGCGGTTTTTTTCATGAAATTCGAGATGAAATTTGTAATACTCTGTAGAGTGTAATAAATACACTATCGAGTAATAAAATTTCACACGGGTTAGGTGGTAGAGGTTTGCCTGGGACATGATAATTGTTTTTCCTACAAGTGTACTTTTCCGTACGATTTTCCGCATCATTCTTACTTTTCCTCA